AATGATGAATGGCATGCAGGCTAACATGACCTAACTTGTGATGTATTAGCTCAGGCTCATCCTAAGTATTTCAAATGTGACCAAGTATCATAAAAAAGATGTTTCTCATTCTTTTTGTCTACCCAATGAAAACAAAGCTGCCAACTCCCAATTCCTGGTGAGCGGTCACCAGAACTAGCCCAACCCAGACCCAGAATGCCACGGCTCCTTCACCATCTTATCTAGTAATAAACCAAACAGATCACACTCTAAGTTTACTAACAGTAAGCTGGAACTTCTCTTAACATTTGGGGCCTCTTCTCCCTAGAGTATCCACCTACCTCCGTGGCTTCTCAATCTGGAATATCCATTTCTAATGCCTGTACCCCTGCTCCCCTTTGTGAGTTCCTCTAGAGGCAATGATTTTATGGAGGGGCCCTGGGCAATCTTCATTCCCTTCCTGACTCCTGTTCCTGGCTTCAGTATTTCAAAACCATGCCCTTGAAATAGGTACCTTCATCACACTCTCCACCTCTTTGAAAATGAAAAACCAACAACAACATTTATAAAATCATATAGAATTAGAAGGGATTTTAGAGCTCCTATTCTTGCCTAATGCCCTAATTTTTATAGCTGAGAATATTGAGTCTACATATGGTACAAAGCTGGTCCATCGGATAATAGAATCACGATCCAAAAAGGTCTCAACAGGCTTTAATGTAGGGATGGATCTAATAAGATGGAATTTAATAGTGGTTATGCTGAGGCTTACACTTGTGTGAAAAACCTCAATGCCATAAGCACAAGATGGGGAGAATATGGCTAAGTAAGAGCTTATCTGCACATGATCTCGGGTTTTAGTTGACTGCACACTCCCTATGAGTCAACAGTCATTCCCTGGACATCTGATCGCCAACCATCTTGCCACCTGAACCAGAGACTATACCCTGAGAACTTAACCTTTTCAGCTCCAGACCTCCTGCTTTGAGATACTGCTGATCTGATTGGGGAATATCTTATAAGGTTCACTTTATCAGACTGGCCCCATTCACACTTTGCTCTACTCTTTTCTTGCTGACAGCCCCACCCGTCATATTATCCCTTCCCTTCTTTTTTTCTTTCACATAATTAATAATTAATTGATTCTATGATTTATTTTTTGACTCACTCATTATTTAGGATTTCCCTGTTAAATTTCCATTTGAGTCTGAGTATTTTGTTTGTGCTCCCTGAACTGATTACTATTTTTATTGCATTATGGTGTGTAAAGAATGTGCTTAATAATTCTGCCTATTCACATTTGTTTGCAATATCTCTGTAATCTTAATACATTGTCAATTTTGTAAAAGTTCCATGTGGTACTAAGAAATATTTATATTCTTTAGCAGTCCCATTTAGAAGATGCATAAGTCTTTATCTCTACTTTCTCCAGCAATTTGTTCAATTTTAGATTTTCCTGTTAAAAAAAAATCTTTCTGTTAGATTTGTCCAAAACTAAGAGGTCATTGAAATCTCCTGCCATTGTGTAATTACTATGTCTTATTGAAATTCAATTAATTTTTCATTTATGAATTTAGAGATGCTAAGGCATTTAAGCATATTGGGCAGGTCATTTAACCTCTGTGAGTCTCATTTTAACCATTTCTAAAATGAAGGGATTGGACCAGATGACCTCTAAAATCTTTTCCAGTTATAAATGTATGATCTATGACTAAGAATTGGATGAACGAATGGAGGATGTTTAATCTAGATAAGAGAGGGCTTAGGAGGATGACAATAGCTGTTTTTGAACATTTGAAGGGCTTTTCATGAAAGAATGGGGCAGCTAGGTGGTGTAGTGGATAGAGCCTGGGGACTGGAGTCAGGAAGACCAGAGTTCAAATCCAGCTTCAGACACTTACTATCTGTGTGATCTTGGGCAAGTCCTACTTCACCCTATTTGCTTCAGTTTCCTCATCTGTAAAATGAGCTGGAAGAGGAAATGGTAAAGCACTCCAGTATCTTTGCCCAGAAAACCCCAAATGGGGTCATGAAGAGTTGGACATGACTGAACAGCAACAATGTGAAGGCCTTAAGAAATTGTTCTACTTGCTCCAGAAGAGAAAAATAATGATGCTGGCTGCAGGTTGCAAAGATGTAGATTTAGCCTTGATTTAAAGAAAAAGAAATTCCTAACAATCAGTGCTATCCAAAATTAGAATGGGCTGCCTGAGAAGTAATTGGAGGCTTTTGAGCAAATACTGGAGGACTGCATATTACATATGGGGTATGCTGTAGAACAGAGTCTTGTGTCAGGTATAGATTGACTGGACCAAATGGTCTCTTAAGTCCCTTCCAACTCTGTGAGCTATATTAAATAGGTACCCCTCCTCCCCCACACACATGAGTCTTTCATCCAGTGACATCCTTCTTGCTCTTCCATGAACAAGACTCCATCTCTCTGCTCCAGGCATTTTCTCTGGCTGTTCCTTATGCCTGGAATGCTCTCCCTCCTCTGCTCTGACTGCTAAACTCTCTGGTTTCTTTTAAGTCCCAATTAAAATCCCACCTTCTACAGAAAGACTTTCCCAGCCCCTCTTAATCCCATTGCTTTCCCTCTGTTACTTATTTCCTGTTTATCCATCATAGAGCTTGTTTTGTATATACTATTTATGTATTGTTTCCCATTTTCGTTTATAAGCTCCTTAACGGTAGGGACATATCTTTTGGTATCTCCAGTGCTTAGCACAGTGCCTGGCACATAGTAAGTGCTTAATAAATGTTGATTGATTGATAGTGAATAAGAGAGAGCCAGGATAGGAAATCAGGTGCTTTAATTTTATATTCAGTGTTTTTTTTTTCCTTAAAATGCACTGCCTTTAACAATTCCATTCAAATACATGCCAAGTAGTATACTCAGAATTGGAGAGGCAAAGTCAAAATGAAAAAAAGAAATTAGTCCCTGACCTCAAAAAGCTTACATTTGCTGAAGGGATGCATCATGTGCATAGACAAGTAAATACCAGATAGTTTGAAGAGAGGGCACCAACTACTAAGGCTTAATAATAACAACTAGCATTTATACAGTGCTCTAAGTTTTGCAAAGCATTATATACATATATGTTGTATTATGTTATTTATTTATGTAATAGAAATGATAGATAAATATGTTAAATATATATTTATATACTATACATTCACATAGAAATACATTATTTTATAATATAAAAACATATTTTATATTAATATATAGATATAACATATACTATTTATGTATAAATATAATATATTGTAATATGCTATATATTTATATGTAAACCCATTTGGTCCTTACAAAAACTCTGTGCAGTAAATACTATAGGAATTATTCCCATTTTATAGATGGGGTTAAAATTTATCCTTTCTGAGACTCAGAGAGATTAAATTGTTTAAACGTTTTCTGAAGCGTGATTGCAACCAAGAATTTGCTGACCTCGAGTTCAACATGTTATCCATTATAATACAATGGATCAGGAACAGTTTTCTATAGAAGGACCTTGAGTCTAATCTTGAAAGAAGCTAAGAATTCTAAGAGGTGGGGGAGAAGAGAGAATTACATTCTAGGCATTTTTATTGTTAGGCATTTTAGGCATGTCTGACTCTCTGTGACCCCATTTGGGATTTTCTTGGTAAAGACACTGGAGTGGTTTGACATTGCCTTCTCCAGCTCATTTTACAGGTGAGGAAACAGAGGCAAACAGGGTTAAGTGTCTTGCCCAGGAACACACAGTAAGTGTCAGAGGCCGGAATTCAAGTTGGAAAGATGAGCTTTCCTGACTTCAGGCCTGGTGCTCTATCCACTGAACCACTCAGCTGCCCAATTCCAGGCGCAGTGGACAGCAAGTAGAATGTTTTGATTGACTGAAAGAGTATCAAAGAGGAATAATATAAACAAAGTCAGGTAAGGTAGGATAAAGCATGCCTACTAAAATCTTTAAATGCTGAGAAATTTATATTGAGAAACAATAGGGAGCCATTAAGGCTCTTTGAGTAGGGGAGTGACCTAGGACAATGTTTCTCATAATAGTGTTTTAAAATGTACAATACTTTCCTTACAGAAATACTTTGAGATAAGTAATGTAAGAATCATTATCCCCTTTTTACAGATAAGAAAACTGAATTTCAGAGAAGTTAAATGATTTATATAAGTTTATACAACTACCGAATATCAGAGCCTGGACTAATTATTCTCAGGTCCTCTTAACCATAAGCACAATGATGCAGATACTGGGCTAAGAGTTGCTACTGAAACAAGTCTGGAATTGAAAGTGTCCAGACTGGAGAAAGTTTACATCATTTACGCTGTTGTAAATAGTTTGAATCCTTTTTTTTTGGTTATTTTAACTAGATAAGCAGTCGCCTTTAAATTGAGTATTTCGTAATATGAACATCTGAATTATCTTTGATTCTTTAGGTTTGGAACTCGAGGTAACCGGGCAGGGTACATCAAACTGGAAACCAAGCCCATCCCAGTTTGGCACTGGCTAGTAGGAGAGGCAGGCTCTGAGCCCCCAGAGAAAATGAGGGATGAGATCTAAATTAGTAAATCATGGCTTCCCAATGTCCTTAACATGACTGCCTCACCATATTAGCCACATTTTTTTGTTTCCTGCCACATGAAGTATGGGGGGAAAGAATACTGGATTTGGAATCAGGGCTCAAATTCACTTAGACCAGTGCAACTTCAATAAGTCTCTGTGCCTCAGTTTCCCTAAACTGTAAAATGAGGGGGTGGTACTAGATGACCTTGAAGGTTCCTTGTAGCTCTAAATCTATGATCTTGTGTGAATTAGTCTGTCCAAAGTGCATGTTTTCTCTGCTGGAGTCACTGGCTGCTGATTCATACTTGTTGCTTCTTCTACCGCCCCAAGTTGAGGCCCCTGGTCAAGCTGCTACAGGGGAGGGGATAATTTATTTTAGTTCAGGGGCTGTTTCAGCTTTTGTATCAGCTCAGGAAATGGGCTGCTACAATAACACTTTTTTTTTTTGGCTTTAACTCACAGGGAGAGATGAAAATTGCTTTCTGAGGAGAGCCCCACCCAACAATTATCCACAGAGTTTCAGGTAATGGAGCTCAACATTTCTGTGGTTTATGTGAGAGGCTATTCTGATTTTCTTTCAAAATCAAAGACCTTGCCTGAATATTTTCCTGCCAAAACCAACAAAAGGGAGCAGAAAAACTGGGGGATGAGTTAGAAGGGATGGGAGAAGAGAAGCGAGGGTGAGAGGAAGAAGGAAAGGAAGAAGGAAAAAAAAGAGTAGGAAGAAGAAAAGAAATGAAAGTGAGGGAAAGGAAGAAGAAAGCCTGAGGGGGATAAAAGGAAACAGGAGGGCTGAAGGAAGAAGAAATACAGAGGAGGGGGGAAGCCTATGACTAGGTTGGTAACTAGAAGGGGGATATTCATTGCAGATTCTTTGGGTATGGGGATATGATTTTTAATTCCTGGCTCATAGCCCAGGGAGAGATCACTTTTTCTTGCAACACATACTTACCTTTGTCACCATGAAAGGGCGGGGAGTAGATTTAACCCAGAGACTCAGGGTCACTTGATTTTCTTCCTATTTTTCTGTGTTGGAAGGGCATGACACTTCAATATTTATAAGGCATTTGTTCTGAAATGGAAAAAAAAAAGTTGAGTCCTACGACAGAAATTTTTTAAAAAGCAAGATAATGCTTAACCCTCACAGAAGAAGGGGGGAAAACCACGAAAGTGAATTCATTTTCTTTGGTTAAAGACAATGAAATCCTTGTGCACACCTATGCCTAGGCAACCCTTCTGATGTGGTTCAGGGGTTCAGGAGTCCTGGGACCCCAATATCACAACGTGGGACTAAAAGAATTCGATCCAAGCTTTCTTTCAGCCAGAGACAAAGTTTATTAGAACATCGTCATGTTGGGCAGACTTTTAAGGAGTCTAAACATGAGTAAGCAGTGGCTAGATTATAAGAATCTGAGCAGTGGCTAGATCATAAGAATCTGAGCCTTGGCTGGATTTGAGGAATCTGAGCATCTTAATGGAGATAAGATGGACCCTATATACAGAAAGACTGTGGGAGGGATCTAGGAGTGGCCAAGTAGTCTATGAGGTAATATAATTCCAGGGAAATGGAGCCTAGATAGGACCGAGGGCGGGAAGTGGCCTGGAACCATAGGGAGGCAAGACAATGGAGGGGAGGATTATAGCCTCAGGTGAACGCTAGAGATTTGGCCATGCTGGAAAGTCCAGGGTTTTTCCTTTCTGGGGCCCAGGTCCCAAACCCATCATTCCCACAGTTACAATCATGTTTCTTATCTAAACCCAACTTCAAAGGTCTCCTGGTCCTTTGTCTTTCTCCTCCTGATTCCTGGAGATTTCCTTTGGTTTTGCTGTTTTGGTGACTCAGTTTTCTGGATCTGATGGTTAAAAACTTCCCCATAAATTTTTCTGGTTTCTTTTAAGCCTCATCTTAAATCTCATCTTCAACTGGAGGCCTTTTCTGGTCCCCTTCCAATACAAGCACCTTTCCTCAGAGATCACCCCTCATTTATACTGTACATATCTTGGATGAACACACAAAGTGGCCTCCAGGAGGGTAGGGATTCTCTTTCTATGCCAGTGCTTGGCATGTCATAAGCACTTAATAACTACTTGTTGATTGACTGGCATGTAGATTTGGCTTTACTTATAAAGCTCCTTGAGGGCAGGGACTAGGTTTATTCTGAGCTTCTAGCAGAGTGACTTTTACATGGCAGGCCCTTAATAAATATTTATTGAATTGACAAGGGAGGGGAGGGAGACAGCCATAGACTGGAAGACTTAAAAGTCTAAATTCCCATCTAAATTAAACATCCCATGCTTGGGGCCAAAGGATCATTGCTCAGTTTACCAGGCTTGGGCTTGCTTAAACTGGGCCCTTGCAGGAGACAGCTCCAGGGTATGTTTTCTTCCTAAAAGAGACTACCTATTAAAATGATTTCTTGCAGCCTTTGTTAAATAGAGCACATCTGTACCAGATTGGGGAAAGAATGAAACAGCAAAGACTGAAGTTAGGACAATGAGCCATAGATCTCCATGTCAAATCAGCCCTGTGATTTATCACCAAACCACATAGAAATTAAGCATCTGGCTAAGAGGGAAGGAAAGAGGACAGAGAAGAGGCATGATTTACAGATGCTAAGAGGCTGTGGAGAAATGGAAGCTCACTGAGCATCTGTCACCCTGTGGAGGAATCTGTGTGGACCCAAGGGGCCTACTTGGAGCTAGGATATGGCTCAGGGCTGGGTGCAGAACCTGTGGCTTTGAGGCCAGGTGTGGGCCTCTGTCCTCACATGACCCTTTGACTGAATTCAAGGTCAGGTGTGGACCTAGAGGGCCACACCTGCCCTCGAAGCCATAGGTTCTCTACCCCTGGACTGTGGGAAAGAGTACTGGGCAAAAAATCAAGAAACCTGGAATCTGGTCTTAGCTTTGCTGTCATGTGACCACAAACAAGGCACATACCTCTTGGGCCTCAGTTTCCTCACACGTAAAATGTACAATGAGGAGGCTTAATTAATATATTCTCTTTAAAATGCAATGAGGCATAGGAGAAAGACTGAAGGACCTGGAGTCAGGAGAATGGGGTTCAAATCTTCCATTTTAGTGTAGTAGAAAGAATATAATCTAGAGAGTCAGAAGACCTGGATTCAAATCCTAATTCTGCCATTGACTACCTATAAACCTTTGGGTCAATTGGTTAAGTTCCCTGGGCCTTCTCTTTTTCATCCCTAAAATGACGGAATTGGACTCAGGAGTGTGCTGGTAAGTGTTTAACAACAGACTCTCCCCCCAAAATTATATGACAACACACTTTTAGGTTTAGTCTGCACTATTACCATTTTCTCCATCACTTTCTTGAGTGTAGACAATAAAACAATAAATCAGGTCCTGATTTATAGTGTCTGCTCATTTCTGAAGTGTAAATTGTCACACTGAAATTTAACCATCAGCCAAAAACAAATTTGGCTCCAGCTTGGCCCTTGTTGGACTAACTGACCTCCAAGGTTATTCAAGGCCTGAATCCATGATTTATGATCATACAAATTTATTAGAGCAGGCGGACAGAACCATTTTGGGGTCGTGGACCCCTCTGACAGCCTAGTAAGGTCTATGGGTCCTTTATAAGAATAATTCTTTTAAAGAACTGAAAGAAATACCAAATTTCAGTTAAAGGTTAATGAAAATAAAGTTGTGATTTTTTTTTCCCATCCACGTTCACAGACCTTCTAAAATCTCTCCATGAACCCTTTAGGTTAAAGTCCTCTGGCTTACAGATTCATTTTCCTCATTTGTAAAATCAGGAGAATAGCCTTTGTTGGAAGGATATGATACATCAAATTTGGAACTTGTTCTGAAAAAAAAAAAATATCTTGCACTACCCAACTCACAGCATTGTCATAAGGGAAGCACTTGGCAAAATTTTAAGTGCTATAGAAATATGAATCATCATCATTGTGAAGAATAGTAATTGTTCCATTATTAATCAATATTATTACTTAATTATTAATGATAAATTAATTAGTTAACTATAAACTGTTGTTGTTGTTATTCAATCATAAACATTTATCAAACACCCTACTTTGTGCCAGGCACTGTATGAGGTGCTGGGGATAGAAACAAAACCAGAAAGTTTTATGTCTGTAAGCAGGTGATGGGAATGGGAGGCTAACCCTGAAAGAACTATCACTAACCAGACAGAAAGGACCTTCCTGCTTTGACTCACTCTCAGATTTACATTCCCTGACCCCACCGGGAAGTAATTAATTTTTTAAAAAGTCAGCTCTTGGTTGGACACATATGAATTATTCACCTCATGGATTATTCACAGTAAAAGTCTAAGCTTAGCCTGACTTCCACTAGCTAAACCAGTGGGGATCCCTCCTCCTGAAGTTAGGAAATATTTTTTCAGGGAAAAAATGAGCTCATAAGAGGTGCTGTGTAGACTAGACCAAGTCCCATTTCAAAGGTATTCTGGTTGATGGTGAGCAGGAGTAGCCACCACCCACTCTGTGCTGGTGGGAGCCAGGAAGGGGTTTGGAGAATGGTCAATTATCTCAGATCCTTAGATGAGTGTGTTCCATTTATTTCCATACTGTGATGTATGTGTGAACTTGACAAGATAGACTGAAGTGCACTAGTGGCCCTTCCCCCAAAGAATGGTGTAGGGCATCTAGATGAACCTCTCATTTTATAGCTACAGAAAAAGAGGTTCAGAGAAGTCATCAATTGTTCAAAATAACAAAGATTGCTACACCTGGAGCCAAGAAGAGCCAAGTTCAAATCCTACCTCAGACACTTACTAGGTATGTGACTCTGGGCAAATCACTTAATCTAATAAAGTCACTAACTCAGTCTCAGTTTCCTCATCTATAAAATGGTGGTAATGATAGCACCTGACTCCCAGGGTTGTTGTGAAAATAAAACAAAATGTTTGCAAAGTGCTTACCTTAAAGTGCTAGATAGTTGCTAGATATCATTATTGTTAATGTTAAGAGATAAGATTAAAACCAAGGTCTTATGATTCCACGTCCAAAGTCCTTTCTACCTATTACAGCATGCTGCCATCTGCCAGTGAAACCATATCCCATAATCTCAAACACATAGGATGGTAAGGTTGCTTTTCAATTTAATTCACCTCAATAAAGCTGTGTGCTGCTGAACATAACTAGAAAATGTTTTGGTGAAATGAGATGGGAGGTCCTTGGTTGAGGGGATAGGGAGAGGAGAGGTGGGGAGAGGTGATAAAAAGGCTTAGAATAACCTCTAAGGTAAGATAGTATATTTGGAAGCTGTGTGGAGTACGGATTGGATAGTGGAGAAACCCACTAGTGAGCTACTGCAATAGCCTAGGGAAGACATGATGAGACCTGAGTTAATATAAGCGGCTAAGTGAATAGAGAGAAGGGGTGGAGTGTAAGAAATACTGTGGCAGGACTGAGGGATTGAAATCAAGTCCACAAGCATCCATTAAGCAAACAGCTACTATCCACTGGGCACTCTGCCAGTGATTGGCTATGTGGTTTGTGAGAGAGGGAAGAATCAATGATAATTCCAAAATTTCCCACCTGAGTCACTGGCAGGACAGGGACTCCTTTAAGTAAAAGAGCACTTTGGGGGAGGGATAGTTTTATGGAAAATAGAAAGGGCTCATTTTGGATATGTTGAGTTTGATATATAGCAAGAAGTCAGTAATATGAGGCTGCAGTTTAACAGAGAAATTGGGGGCGGACATTTTCTGCCCTCATCAGATCTCCTCTGAAATAATTGTGTTCAATAACCAGAGGTGCATTTTAAGAAGGACCCTGACAAGCTGGAGAATGTCGAAAGAACAGCAATCAGATTGGCAAAGGGTATTGAATACAAGTCCTATGACTATAAGTTGAAGGCGATGGATATGTTTAAAGCAGAGAAAAGACGACTCATGGAGCACATGAGGTATGTTGATGTACATGAAGTACTGACATATAAAGAGTTAGACTAGCTTTGTTTGGCCTCAGAGGGCAGAATCAGAAACAATGGATGGAACTTGAAAGGAGACCAATCTGGCCTTGATGTCAGGGAACAACTCAGAGCTATCCAATGGTGCAAAGGGCTACTTTGAGAGGCAGGGATGGTGGCTCCACCTTAAAGGTTTTCAAACAGGCTGGATGACTACTTGTTGAGTATATGACTGTGGTTGTGCTATATTCATGTATGGGAAGGCTGTTAAAGTTCCTTCTGATTCTCAGATTCTATGGATTTGTATTAGAGGACCCGAGTTCAAATGTTGGATGATGCTGGACAAATCACTTAATACCTATAAGCTTCAATTTCCTCATTTGTAGAATGTGGGAGTTGGTTTAGATGATCTCTGAGTTCTTTTCCAGCTAGAAATCCATGATCCTACATATAGATTTGGGAGTCATGTGCATGGGTACGTGGGAAACAATGCTGACCATGGGGCAAGAGGACCTGGATTCAAAATCTGCTCCTGATGCTTAACTATGTGATCTGACTTTGGACAAATCACTTATATTTCCTGGACCTCACTTTCTGCCTCTATGAAAGGAGGGAGTTGGCCTAAGGAGCCTAGGAAGTCCCCATATCTCTGTATCTATGATCCTGAGATCATATGAACCCATGAAACTGATGAGATCACTAGAGAGAAAGTAAAGAAAAAAAGAAGGCCCATTAGAGAACTCTGAGGAGTAGCCATATGTAGGAAGTGGTACATAGATGATGATCTAGCAAAGAATGCCTGGAGGTGACAAGTGGAAGAGAGAGAGAGAGAGAGAGACAGAGAGACAGAGACAGACAGAGACAGACAGACAGAGATAGCGAGAGACAGAGACAGAGAGAGACATAGATAGAGACAGACAGACAGACTGACAGACAGAGACAGAAAGACAGAGACAGAGAGAAAGCCAGAGAGAGAAACAGTGTCATGGAATTCAAAGGAGAGAGTAGTCAGAAGGAAAGGGGGCAGGGTTGACAAGGTCTATAGTGGCAGAGAGCTCAAGCAGAATGAAGCCTGAGAAAAGAAAATCGGTTTTTAGCAGTTAAGACTAGTAGTAACCTTGGAAACAGCATGTCAGCTGACTGGTGGGGTCAGATACCAGATTGCAAGGGACTGAAAAGTAAGTGGGAAGTGAAGAAATAAAAATAACAAACATAGACAATCTTGTCTAAGAGTTTAGTCATGGAAGAGAGATCTACAGGGCAAGATCTTGAGGGAACAACAAGGTCCAGAAAATGTTTTTTAAGGAAGAGGGAGATTTTGATACATTTCAAAAATGAAGTGATGCCATTGACACTTTCAGAAAGATGTGATCTGAATTGTTTTCTCAACAGTGGGGATAGATTTGCACTGATCCAGTCATCTATTCACACACACACACACACACACACACACACACACACACACACACACCCACCATCCTCCTTTCATTTTCCACCATGGTTGTGACCATTGTCCTTCTTCTTCTACATTTCACACCACACACCAAGAACTGGCAAATAGAACCGGTCTGCCCGGTACTAGGTCTGTGATATAGCAAGAACATCTCTGTGGCGAACCCAAGTATCCCAATACATTGTTAGGGAATGGGTTAGAGATGCTACTAATAAAGCAAAGAAGCTAAATATGATTTCTATGAGGACCATCTGCGCAAGAAAAAATTCTGTTCATATAATCACCGAATTAGGGCATTGGAAGGGATTTAATTGACCATTTAGTCCAACTTATACATGAAGGAATAGCCATTAATACATACTTGATGTTTGAAGACCGCCAATTTATGAGGAAAGCTCCTATTTAATTTTTGGACAATTTTAATGGTCAGAACATTTTTCTTGACATTAAGTCTCGATCTGCCCTCTAAGAGCAAAAAGAACAGATGACAGAACTCTATATGACAGCCATTCAAATACTTGAACATAGGTATCATGTTCCCCCTGAACCTTCTTTTCACCAGGCTAAATATGCCCAGTTTTTTTTTCCAACTAATCCTCATATGCCATGAATTCCAAGGCAGTTACCATGCTGGTTGCCATCTTCCAGACACCCTCTAGCTTATCAAGGTCCTGCTTAAAGCATGTTCTGACCTGAACAGATTTCTACAGCTGAGGTCTGACAAGGGCAGCATACTGTGGCATTCTCACCTTCCTGTTCCCCTAAGCTATGGCCTCCTAATGGAGCCCAAGATTGCATTAGCACTTTTGTCTGCCACATCAACCTCCTGTTCCTTATCGAGCTTGACAACTCCCCAAATCCCTATATGCTTTTCAGAAGAACTAGTGATGTTGGTGACTTTGCATAAACCTCTTCACTTAAATCCAATTCACTTGCAAGTTCACCTTTCGGATGTCATGGTCCTCTATGAGAATGAAGGACAAGCAACAACAATAACAATAGCTTCCTGTCTATGCCTTCTCTATCTTGTATTTGTGGAATTAGTTACAAAATACTAAATAAGGAATATTACCAGTTTTGAGATCAAAATGATTAAAATCAAGATATCATGAAAGAATGTCATAACTCAATTGTGTAACTTAAAATATTATAGAAAACCTTTTAAAAATTGGGATCAAGGGGGCAGCTAGGTGTCACAGTGGTTAGAGCACCAGTCCTGGATTCGAGACGACCTGAGTTCAAATCTGGCCTCAGACTCATAACACAAGCTGTGTGACCTTGGGCAAGTCACTTAACCCCATTGCCTAGCCAAAAAAAAAAATTGGGATCAATATTCTTAAGTTCACACAAATTTTGCTTAAGTGGGCTTGGACATTATTTGTTCCTAATTTTCTTGGTTATGATAGTGCAAACAGCAAAAACAAAAACAAAAACACACACATTCATGAGGAATAATCTTGCAAGGAAGAGAGCAGAAGGGCCTGAGTATGTACCAAAGTGCAAAACTCTATATTTGTTCCTATTGGTATAATAGCCGATTTGGCACAATAATCTAGAGCTGAGACGCCAAACATGTGGTCAAGTGTAGGTCACTGCTGAACACATCAGGAACCAGACTAAAATATAATTGGGAAATATTTAACAAAATAAATAAAAGTACAGTACAATATAGATAATGTTAATTTGTGGTTTTCTAAGTCAATATGTAGCTGCAGGGATCTATTTCTAGTTAAGATTGAAACCACTGTCACTTGTCAAGATCCTTTTACATCCTAATTCTATCTATCTATTCCTGCCAGCTTTGAGTCATTGGGAAAGGTGAAGAGCCTATCATCTGTGCTTTTATCCGAATCACTGATTAAAATGCCCCATAGCCACAAACTGCAGTCCTAATGAAGACTAACTGTATTATGGTTGCATACCATTGGGCACATGTGGGAATAAGAACATATAAGAAGATCAATACAACTTATCTTGTACTCTTGGAAAGTCAGAAGTCCTAAGTTTGAGTTCTGACATTGAATGCTACTTGCTATACATATCATTTGATATTTACGCACGTGTCCAGGGCCCAGCAGAAAAAGGGGTAGAAAAGAAGAAAGGGGAGGGGGAAGGGAACAATTATTTATTAAGCATTTACTATATACTAGGCAGTGGGCTAAGTTTATATAACTATTATCTTATTTGATCCTCACAACAACCCTGGAAGGTAGGTGCTATGATAATCCCAATTTCACAGTTGAGGAAACTGAGTTGGAGGTTAAGTAACTTGTCAAGGAGGGTCATATAGTTTATAAGTGTCTGAGGCTGGATTTGGACTGGAGTCTTCCTGATTCTATGTCCAAGAAACTGAATTAGGAGGAGGTTTGGTAGATGTAACAGCATGTCAGCAATGGCGGTGGGGGTGGCAGGATAGGAGATGAGAGTGGAGTAGAGAATACTTACCTCTAGAAAAAAAAAACCCAAAACTTTGAGGCATCAAATCAAGTTATACAAATAGTCAAATGCACTACCTGCGTTTTGGCTTCCTAATTTTATATGGTCCTGCTGAGCTCTGAAACTCTGCCTAGAAGCGAGTCCTCCCTCTTAACCGATGATGATTTAGTAACAGCAAGTTCATTTGCTAAAGGCACAATCATTTTGGGTATTGAGTTTACTTTCTGAGGCTAAAGAGTTATGAACCAAATTATTTTTTAAAGATACATGTGGGCTAAACTCTAAAACTATATCACCTCCTAGGTCTAGACAATGGAATCATCTCCCACTGGACAAGGTGAATATCCAGTTCTCTTAAATCATTTAAGATGAATCTGGACAAAACACCAGAGAACATCTATCATCACCGGGACTTACGACTGGACAAAGGTAGGTCTTAAGTGTTCCTCAATTGTTGCTGAGTTATACCTTTCATAACACTGAGAGACAAGGGAAAGGCCACTTGTGTTCCTGCCCCCCCCACCCTGAATTACAACTAATGCTTTGAGGTGAGAGAGAGAAATGAAAGAAGTATTTAATGCTCTTGTCTTGTGTGGTTTTCTGACCTTCCTGTGAGAGCACAGCCCTTCTGTAAGTATGGGAAGAGAGGGGCACTCAATTTTGTTGGCTGCTGTCCTGGGTACTCAAGAATCAAAAATGTCTCCATGGTTCATATTGATCATTTCTGAAGATAACAACTGGTAGTGCGGTGGATAGAGTCCTGGATTTAGAATCAGGATGATCTGGGTTCAAAAAACATATCTGGCTAGTTATATGGTCTTAAGCTTAACTTTTCTGAGCCCCAATTTTTTCATCTATAAAATGGGTACAACATCATCTATAGTATGTGCCCAACAAGATGATTATGAGGCTCAAAGGTGATAATCTTTGTGAAGTATTTTGCCAACTTTAAAGCTCTATAGAAAAATCAGTTGTCATTGTGATTATCAGAAAGTCAAGATCTATTCATGTCTAGAAACACCACACACCCTCGCCCTCGGAGAAATTTCCTCCCTTGAAGGACAGGATGAGCATTTGTAGAAACTTCTAGGCCTGAAATGAAACCAAGTTTTAGGCTGGTCTCCACATTATACATATTTTCCCAAGGATTCATTCATACAGGTAATTTGCTTCTATATGTAGTTTCCTCACTTCCAGACAGGATTGACTTCAATCCAAAAGACACTTAATCGGTTAGGAATCCTGTGAATGTTCTTAGTCAATCAAAATGTAGATGGTGAAACAAAAGGTAAGGGCATGTTGCTGGAGAATCCCCTTCTTGTCAGACTTAATGGGCTGAAAACTAGTCAGGGAATTTTCTTCTAGAGGCTGCCACCACTTTCTGAAGATCTGAGTTCATTTTTTATTGATATTCTCTGGCCAGGACCTCTGGAGAATTTCTATTATTTATATGATCAGCTTTGGGAAGAATGTGTGGATCCCTAGTGAATGAACATATTTTATTCCTTTGACTAGATACTGTCCAATGGGTGAAGGATGGGGTGTTCCTAATGGAACAATAAAAGTTTGTAAACTTATGGAAGTAATGAGACCATTCCTAAGACAAATGTAATAGAAGAAGTTGCCTCTGGAAAATGGGGAACATGGCTGTAAAGATGATGAATGCTGAGAAGTCAACATTTTAATACACTTAAGGAATATGGGGGAATCATTGAAGAGAGCAGGACTGGGCTGGGAAAAGAAACCAAGCAATAAAATTGCCCTTTTGAGAGAGGAGTGTTCCAAGGAGAGGCCTTGTAACTCTATCACTTGGCAAAAGTCAGGACACTCTTTGAAATTCTGTTAAAAGGTATTTACATCATTTGTTTTCTGCTTTCTGTAGTTTCCGTCAATGAAACTTAAGGAGAATGGCCAGATGACTACAATCAAATGTGGGTCCAGTTCCAACAGGTTGAATAGTATATTTCCTGGGGACTTGGCTTGGTCATTTGTCTCCTTTGAGTTATCTGGTTCTTTTTACAATCAGTATAAGTGCCAGATACTGTGCTGGGTGCTGGGGAAATAAAGATAAAACTAAATAATCTCTGCCCTCTCCTGGCAAGATACAACATCAACCAATCAACATTTATTAAGTACCTACTATGTGCCAAGCACTGTGCTAAGTGCTGGGGACACAAAAAGAGGCAATCATTATAAATGGCAAAATCCCCACAACTCAGACTCCATTCATAGAGAATGGATAATAATTCAGGAAACAGCCTAACTGATGTGGGTAGACCTAATTACTTTCTTCATACAGGTGATTATTTTTAAGGCCTCTGACCATATCACTGCCTTACTGAAAAAAATCTTCAGGGGTTCCTATCGCTTCTAGGATAAATACAAACTCCTTTGTCTGGCATTTAAAGCCCTCTAAAATCTGGCTTTTGCCAACCTTCCCAGTCTTAGTGTGTGAGCGTGTGTGTGTGTGTGTGTGTGTGTGTGTGTGTGTGTGTATGAGAGAGACAGAGAGAGAGAGATAGAGGAGAGACAAACAGACAGACAGAGACAGAGAGAACAAAAGAAAGACAGAGAAAGAGACAGAGACAGAGATACGAAGCAGATAGATACATAGATAGGTGGATGAAAGAACGGATGGATGTAGCACTAATTAAATAATTATTATGTGCCAGAAATACGTACTAAATTCTGGGTATACAAATATAAGCCAAAAAAAAAAAGAAGAAGGAAAGAAAAGAAAGAAAAGCTCCTCAAGGAGATTACATTCTAATAGAGGAAGATAACTGTAAGAAGGACTACAGTACTATGAAGGAGGTGGAAAAGCACTGAGAGTTAAGAATGTCTGGTGGTGTCAGGCAGGAACTTCCTATCAGAGGGGAGGGCTCCAGGGGTGGAAGCCTCTCCAGGGGGAGAAGGTTACTGAGAAGAAACTAAAAAAGTCCATAGAGCCAGGAGTGAAGCTGGGAGAGAAGTGAAGTTAGATTACTTTCCTTCACCCCCCCTGTATTCTTCCTCTCTATTCCTCTGGCCTGGTTAGGGGCTATTACCCTTACACAACATTCTCTCACCTGCCTCCATGTATCTGCACAGGAGCTCCTGAAGGTCTGCACTGCATTATCATCTCAGTTTACCTCTTAGAGTTCCTGGATACTTTCTAGCCCAGGTGTCATCTCTTGCACAAAGATTTTCCTGATTCCTCCCTATCCCAAGTTGATCGAATTCTCTGTCACTGAAAATGACTTTGTATTGGTTTATTCCTACTTACTTGTGTATATCTCTCAGCCCTGGGCATGTTGTCTGTCTGTCCTCCATGCCTCGAATGTTCTACCTGCTTCTCTCTGACTGCTGACCTCTTTGGCTTCCTTTAAATCCCAACTAAAATCCCACCTTCTACACGAAGCCTTCCCCAACCCCTCCTAATCCCAGTGATTCCCTCCTTTTAATTATTTCCTATTTATCCTATATGTAGTTTGTTTTGTATGTATTTGTCTTCATGTTGTGTCCCCCGTTAAACTGTGAGCTCCTTGAAGGCAGGAACTGTCTTTTCCCTCTTTTTGTATCTGCAGTACTTAGCACAGTGCTCGGCACATAGTAGGTGCTTAATAAATGTTGATTGATTGATGTATCTTCCCAGGAGAAGGCCAGTCTCTTGAGATAAGAACTATTTAGTTTTTATCATTATATCCCCAGCACCCAGCACAGAGCCTGGCATAACAATAAATAATAAGTACTTAATAAATGCTTACTGAGTTTAAAGGCAATGTTATTAATAAGTGTGATTGAGAGTACGATCTAATGGAGAAGACAACAAGCAAACAAATATGTACAACCAAGCTATATACAGAATAACTAGGAAATAATTAACAAAGGGAACGTACTAGAAGGCACTGATGAATGGTAGGTGTGTAGCACCAATCATTCTTACTGAGTTGGAATCATGTACGGTGACTCCATTCATAAATGTTTGCTAAATGGAATTGTATTGTATTATCTTTCTTTTAAAAAAAATAGACAAAATGAGATTCCTGGAAAATCTTTCACAGAATCATAGAATTAGAGCCAGAAAGAGTCCATTGGGTCCAGTAGGTGATGAAACCACTTTCAAGCAACTCAAAGTGTAACTCGCATGCAAGTGAATGATGTGCCAACGACAAATCATTGTAGAGGGTATGAATTGGAAGGGACCTCTAAGGCTGTCTAGGTGAAAAGTTTGGCCTGTGGGGGAGGTGGTATTTGAGCTGTGCAGGAATCCTTCCTCTGACATCTGGGTCAAATGGCCATCCATCCTCTCCACGAACACTCCCAGTGGCAGGAAACTTAACTCATAAAACAGTACATTCCATTCTTGGACAGTTTGAATTGTTAGAAAGTTTCTTCTTTATATCGAGCCAAATATCATCTCCTTCTTTCACCTTTTGGCCCTAGTTCTGGAATGACACAGAACCAATGTAATCTTTCATCCACAAAACAACCCTTTTAATATGAGAAGACAGCCGTCATACCTTCCCTAAGGCTTCTCTTTTCTGTTCCTCTAAATGTTCTTTATGTGATATGGTTTCCAGACCCCTGGTCATCCTGTTTGCCCTCTACCTCGCTCCAGTTTGTCAATGCTTGGTTTAAAATATGGCCCACAGAATGGAACATAACACTACAGATGTGGTTTGCCTAGAGTAGAGTGTGCTATACTCTCATTGTTACAAAGTAGCAATTTCTTTCTTCTGGATACCATACCTTTCTTTTCTTTTTCTTTTTTTTTTTTTGGTGGGGCAATCGGGGGTAAGTGACTTGCCCAGGGTCACATGGCTAGTAAGTGTCAAGTATCTGAAGCTGCATTTGAACTCAGGTCCTCCTGATTCCAAGTCTGGAGTTTTATCCACTGTGCCACCTAGCTGCCCCTAGATGTCACGCTTTTACTAATGCAATCTAGGATCCAGTTGGCTCTTTGGGTTTGCATTAGCACTATGTTCTATTGAGCTAACATGAGCCCTAAAAATCTGTTCAAGATCAAAATGTTACCCGAATTATAGTTTTTAAAGTATTATAACGTAAAAAAAAAGCATTTATTAAGCACCTGCCTTATCATGAACACTGGTAGGTGCTGGCTGGTGAGCTGGGATAGAAAGTTTAGATAAGATGTTATCCCTACCTTCATGGACCTTAGAGTCTAGTAGGGACATAAAATACCAATCAGAAAGCCAGAGCACAAATTCTATATGGTAAGTGTGTGAAAGACCAAAACAGAGTGCTACAGGAAAGGGGAGGTCACTTTGGACAGTCAGTGCATCCAAGAAGTCTTCGAGGAGGAGGTTTGAGCTTTATTTTAGAGGGAGAATGAGTAAAAATTCAGTAATCAAGAAGGGTGAGAAGAGGAAGACATTCTCGGCATGAAATGGCAAGCAAAGGAGAGGCAAGGTCAGAAAGCAGATCTA